TGACGAAGAATCCCCTCTAAATGCCCCAGAAGTGGGCATGTAGGCCTTGAAAACCTCTATTTGGAGGGTATCAACTACTTCCTCAAGGAATCCCGTTCATATTTTTGGATAGCTCTCCATGCAAGGAAAAATACAGCATTGTAGGCTACAAGATCTACACACTCTTATCTCCCTAGCTGCCACCTAAGAGGATGCATAAAATTACAAATCAAATCAAATTAAATCATAAATTGCTATGACTAAGTGTTTTGCCTTCCCTGTAGTGTCCCTTTTTACTTCAAGAAGGGCAGTCATACTGATGCATAGCAATGGAATTTCTTACACTTGGCAAATAAGGAAAGTTTGTCCTTCCTGACATTCCTGTCTCTGTCCCCTCCTTACTGACAATTTTCAATGCAGGGTTACTGAGTAAGTAATATATTTGTCTCCTTTCGGCTTTTTTCGTCTCCAGAGTCCAGAGAAATCAATTGCCCCAGAGGAATGTTGCTAGTCTTTCCAGTTTGTGCATAACTGCCTAAAAACACCAAGACCCAAACCTATCCCTTCCCCTTTTGTCTTTTGATCCCGTTATTTACCACTAGCACAAAGAGTAGTACAATCCTAACCTTCCCAGCTCCCATTTCAACATTTAATTTTTATTTCAAAATTTTCTCCCTCAGAAGTGGGAGCTATTAGATTAAAAGAATTCTTCTTTCTTCATGACATTCATGGCAGGAACCGCTATTATTTCATTTTTATAGATCAGGAAACGAAGGCACACCAAAGTGAAATGTTTCACCAAGAACTCTAAAATCACCATCTCAGGGTTGCATTTCAAAACCCTAGTTCAACTGGTCCCCAAATACTCTCAAATAGTCATCTGTTCTTTCTGTGAATTCTTTCTAGGAAAGGAGAGCCCACTCCTACCTGAGGCAGCTTCATCCCATTTTTGGATGGAATGATTGGGAAGTTTTTCTGCTTGGACACAAAAGGCCTGTCTCGTTAGATTCACAGCAAGCATGAAACAAAACCTGTTACCCCCCCCCAAAAAAGGTATCATTATAGGGGTGATGGTGATTTGAAATTGGGGCCATTTTCTTAAGAGTGCCCAAGAAGCAAAAAGCTTCAGCGGCTATTGTGACATCCCATGAGATCATGTAAATTGTACTGGAATAGAAATCTAAAACTTGGCCTATCACTTGAAATCAGAAGAGGCCCAGGTTCAAACCTTTGCTTACTACCTGTCCCATACTCCACTCTGAGCATTAGTTTTTGCCTATCTATAAAATAAGGAGGGCCAGAGGAAGGTGGTGGTACAGCTAGGTGGTGCAGTGGATGGAGCACCAGGCCTGAAGTCAGGAAGACCTAAATTCAAATGTAGCCTCAAACACTTCGTAGCTATGTGACTCTGGGCAAGTCACTTCACTGTTTGCCTCAGTTTCCTCATCTGAGCTGGAGAACGGCAACCACTCCCATATCTTTGCCAAGAAAATCCCAAATGGGGTCACAAAGAGTCGGACACAACCGAAAAGAACTAAACAACAAAATAAGGGAGTAAAGGAGGATGCATTCTAAGATGCCATGAGCTCTACATTTCATGATCAAGTTCGCCAAGAGTCCATCTGGCCTTTACATAATATCATGCAATAAAAGGTAGAAGAATTAAAGGTAGAAGACCTACTAACTGTGGTGCTGTTGTAAGGATTCAGGCCTAATAACCTTAACTTCCAAACAGGAAGAAAAAGTTTGTATAGACTTTAGATCCCTATCAACTTTCTGGAAGATGTCCAAGCCAGGTTTGAACTAAGACTCCTAGAGAAAGGCCTTTAGTTCAACCAGCTAGTCAGTCCTCACAGGCATGGGAATTTGGGGTCTCTAATTGTCCTTTACTCATCAACGGGGGCTCTCTCTTCCACAGCTAAAGACCTGCTATCCTGGGAGCAAGCATAAAAGAGGGTAAGGCACTTCAGGAAGCAAACTGGCAGCCCAGCTGCCAGCTGGTATTTTGCAAAGGACACAGAATTAGTTGAAAATTATATTTTTCCAATTATCACAGTGGGAAACATTGCTGAGACATTCAGCCCAAGCCTGCAATTAGTGAGCATTTGCTTACTTCTAGAAATAGCAGGCCCCCTATCTCCCAGTCTATCTGGGTCTTGAGCAAGAAGACTCTTTAGGAAGGATTTCACCATGAGAGTAGCTGTACACGAACAAGATTCCTTGGTAAGGCCTGCACCCTTTATACAGGACATATGGACAACTAGTGTTGCCTCTGGGCACACTGCCAGTCGACCAAAGCCTCAAAAAATCCCACAAGGAATCCATTAAAAATGTTCACGTACTATTATCAGAGCTAGGGAGGATCTGTTTGAGGAGTGAAGTCACCAGTCATCACCATCAAGTTTCAAATATTTGTGTGAGCATCAAAAGCAAGAGATATGTTTCAGAAACCACCAATGCAGTTCCTTTCTGTATTTTTTTACACAATAGGATTTAGACTGGCTAATGATAACTCCAGAAAGCTAGAGAGGACTAAGACAATAGGTAGGAGAAGGTCAAAGGGAACAGGGGTTCCCAGAAGACAAAAGGGATAATTCATTCACATTTGACCACAGAGTAACAATTTCCCCTCTTAAAAGGGGAACCTCCTCCAGCAGCTTCTGCTATATGCAACTGAGAAAGTCAGTACTAGCAGTTTTAGGAAAGATTTTCAGGAGTGCCCTCAAACAGGGCAAAACTAATGAAACAGCCTGGGCCATGCTTCAATGAACAGATGCTTCAGTGGAGGCCGCACTTTCGCTATAACCAGGTCATTATCCCATTAAAATTTAAAGGGCACACCCAAGCCTCATGTTTAAATGAGCCTGAGCTCTGTCCCTTTTAGCTTCAAGCAGCTTTGTATCACCTTGGAGATGACAGGAGAGAGGCAAGTGAAAAATAAAGCCCATTTCTCACCAGTCAGAAGAGAATTTTTTTTTTTTTGACGAAACAATGGGGGTTAAGTTACTTGCCCAGGGTCACACAGCTAGTGAGTGTTATGTGTCTGAGGTCACATTTGAACTCAGGTCCTCCTGACTACAGGACTAGTGTTCTACCCACTGTGCCACCTAACTGCCCCCGGAGGTCAAATCTGAGTCCTCTGGGGAGCGGAGAAACCCCCCCCAACCCACTTGAGCTCAGGTTCACGGGGCACCTGGTAGCAAGCCCCAGAGGCATTCAATGAGTAAAGTTCATGCACAAGGACATCCCATCACAGGGAGGGGGGAACAAGCCCCACTAATGCCAGACAGAAGCAACTTTCTAGAAAAATCATAGGCATTTTTATTTAGAGGTAGACAGATGAGTATGGACTGCTGTAGTATGTCCCATTTAACTGGCATGTCATTCATATTCAACCCCATTCATCCATCTTACACCGCAGGTAGAACAAAGGTCAACAACATGAGATTGTTTTGAGACGGCCGTTGCTGGAAAGGGGATATATAATTACATACACTCAACGCAAAACCAGAAATACTCTTTTTTTTCAGTGTTTCCCCAACTTTGACACTCATAAAGTAGTTAGAACAGGTTCAAGAAATGCTACCTTTGCCTTGTGGGAATTGTGAAGGCTCTCTCCTGCCCCTCAGCAGTAACAAAGTTAGTGAAACTTCAACAAATGAAGGACAAGTGGCAGGCCACTTCATCTTCCCCAAGCCCGTGAACATTCCTCCAGTTAAGGGAGTGGTTCCCATATATGCCATGGAACCTGCCACTACTTTAGAACAAATGCAGAATACAAGTTACTATTCTGCAAAATTTCCTCAGGGAATTTTCCATTTAAAAATATTTAAGGGAGGCCCCCGTTCACGTCTGGTGAACCTAACAGAGCAGATCACACCATTATGATTTTGTTTGATACATACATCAACTGGCTCTGAATGGTCCTCAAAATGACAGGGAATTATCATCAATGACAACCAACATCAAAACATAATGGAATTGAAGCCTGATAGAAAAGTAGAGAAATATGTACAGGAATTCACAGCCCAGAAGAAAGGGGACCTTAATGAGAATCAGTGGAAACCTGGCTATTTTACATAGCTAATTTTGAGACAAGTCATATTTAGCACAAAAGCAATTATAGCACAAGTGACACTTCCCTCCCACTGCCCCCTAAATGTTAAAAAGCCGTTCTCGGAGGAGTCCTCTGCAACCCTGCTAGTCATTCTTTGGGGAGCAGGAATGTGTAAGTGTGATCCCAAGCAGTGGTAGGAGCTTGATCCCGAATGGTTTCACACTCTGAGAATGGCATACTTGAAGAGGGCCATGATAGCAGCACTGATCACTCCTGAAATTGGGACAGTAACAAACCAGGCCATGAAAATGTTTCGGAAGAGTCTCCAGTCCACGGCTTTCTTAGATCGAAGCCAGCCAACAGAAACAACGGAGCCCACCTGCAAAAACCCACAACTTTAGTGCTCAAAAAGTTTCATTTCCTAGAACCCACATGATCGGCTAACATAATAGATCCCAGTTGTAAGGGAACTCAGGGACACACAGAGCACCGCTATTCTTTTACAGATAAGAATGACACTTGAGAACCCTGACCTTAACTTCGGCACAGTCAGGCCCTCTCTCTAGCACACTAACCCACACTGTTTTCAGTGTGTGATCTGGGAAAAGGCATTTATCCTCTGGACCTCAGTTTCCTCATCTGAAAAATTAAGAAGTAAATGGCTATGATTCTTAACATTCAAAACAACACAGGCAGTCCTAGAGCACACTGCCTTAGGACCAAGAACCTGGGTGTAGTCCCATGACCTTGAGTCAATATTATCCTCTGTACTGTGAAGCGGCTGGATGGCATGAGAAGCTTGAAGGCCCTTTCCAGCTGGAAATCTACACTCCTCTCTGGTCTTGTTTCACTCTCCAACATCTGAGGTCTAACATCTTATCCAGTCTTCCAGTAAGAAGGAAGGGAAGTCTAGAGGGGAACTGACTTGCCCCAGGTGACATAGTTAAGTAGCAAATGTGGATGAAAAGCCCAGCTCTCCTGTGCTGAGTCAGCCATCCCACCTTGATACCAGGCTGATCAATGATCCAGTGTTCTTGGACTTTTAATTAACTCTCTAATACACTAGGTCGACAGGGCTGTGCAATATTTCCTCTTATTAAGATGACTAGCTTGATCTTCTCTACCACCCTACAGAGACCATGGAGCCCAGAGGCTGGAGGGTGAAGGGCCCGGATCTGAATTCCTCCTGTCACCAGAGGCAAACCACCCCCTGCGCCTTGGTTTCCTTATCTGCAAAATGGGGATGGATAACAGCATCCACTGCAAAGATCCTGTCTAGTCCCTGACAAGTGCTCCTACCACAGGGACAAGTAGGAGCTCTTCCTACAGCAACTTGGATACTTGTTAATTTGTTACCTCAGGCCAACTAAGATCTTAGGGCAAACCCACCAAAAAGAAAGAGCAAGTCAAGACCTGCCATCCTATCATTACCCACTATGTACAAAGGCAGAGATTACAAATGACTATTTCATAAGTTTAAACTGCAAATGATTCTGATGACAAGGTGGAGAATCCATTTTACTGCTTAGACTGAGCTAAAGCTTTAAGATGTAGTTCAAAACGTTAACTAGTACCACACGTACCTTACAGTGAGTCGTACTGATGGGAAGGCCAACATTTGATGCAATTACTACCGTGACAGCTGACGCCAGTTCAATACTGAAGCCACTGTTGACACAAAATGGTTGCTTGTCAAAACAGCCTAGTGACCCAAACCCAGGTCTAGATCGCCTCTCCAATGATTAGTTTAAGCTACTCAGCTCTAGACTGAAAGAAGGCCCTATCAGATAACCAGCTAGGCTTCCACAGGCAAAGTAGCCTTCCTTTGTTACAATCCAAATTTGCATATAAAAACCAGCATAAAGCAATGACCTTAGTAGTTTCCCTCAACAGAAGAACCTCATATTCCAGTATGGATCTAAAAGGTGTTTTAAATTCTACCAGGAGCTTGATGCTACTGCAAACTCCTGTGCTTTTCAAACCATCTGGCAAGTGTCTCTGTTCTAGCTCCCAGGTAAGGACAAACGAAACCCAAGTGGACACACAGCTGCCCAAGCTGAAAGTCACGTACTCTTGGCACACTGACCAAGTCTCAAGTCTTGATGTGTTCACAGGTCGCTTATTTGGTCACCTGGCCAGTGGAGCTGACTTGATCACTAAGATTTTTCTAAGAAGTGTTATCAGAGACCATATAGCAGAAATTTAACCTGAATCAATGGGAATGAACACTGAAAATATGCTTATGGTTTTGCCACTATAAAATGATTTTAAATATAATAAAACACTATACAAATTCAACATCTCTATAAGATAAACTTTGGTCTTATAACCCACTTACCTAGAGGGTGTGATTGGTGTGAGATCCTTCCCCATGGTTTGAATAACTCTCCTTCCCCAGACCCAGAGACCAATACATATACCAACACCACCATACAACAGAAGCCAAATTGGGGTTGCCACTTTGGAAGCCACATCTCTAGTTTGATAGACCAAATACAGAGCCACCAGAGGTCCGATGGCATTGCTGGAAAATAAGGAGAGAACAAAACATGTCAAGATTGCAAAGACCAATCTTCTCTTTGCTTTTTGTATATGTCTTTTATGTTTGGCAGACCAAAAGGCAACTGACCTTACATCATTGCCACCATGGGCAAAAGAGCCGAAGCAGGCCGTGAGGATCTGCAAGAACTGGAAGAGCAGGGAGATCTCTGGCTTGTCCTGGTCACGCCACTCCTCCAGGGAGTCCCCACTGCCCTTCCTGTCCCCAAGGCCCCGCTCAGCCTGGACGCTCACATCGACATCGGACACCGAGTGGATGTCGGACACGGCGTTGCAGTAGCTGGTGTAGCTGTCCATGCGGACCCTCTTCTTGGAGTCAGAGACAGGACCAGTCAGCTTTTCCATCTCCTCCCCCTTCGGTTCTCCTTCTTTGGCACGGAATGAATCCAAAGGCATGCCGCAAATGGCCATGGTGTAGGACGTGTAGCTGTTGTTACGCCTCAAGGGCTTGTCACTCGAGTCCCCCATGCAATCTCCCACCTTGGCAAGGTGCAGCTTGTGAAGTAACTCTTTGTACAAGCCAGAATCTTTGTGCACGGTGTGATACTGATAGTGGCCGCTGGAATTCATCTGGTTGCTGACTGCTTGATTGAACTGGACCAGGTTCCCATTGGGCAACTGTACTGTGCCTAAGGAAGATGGAAGAAATATATATGTGTACACATACAAACTTCCCTATCGCCACCCCCTCCCTATTTTAAACTTGTAAAAGCTTTCACAGTACATTATTCTACATCAAACCCATAAGCCATCCCCCTCCCCCCCAAAAAAACGAACTGCTTTTGAAACCACAAAACTAACCATTCATTGCACTGTCAATATTTGTTTCTTTCACATCCACACTGGGAAGCCTCTCTCGCTCTGGGGCTTCCTCCAGATCTCCCAGCTTAAATGAGACAGTTCTCTCCTCCACTGCAGCTCGCAGCGGCACAGTAGCAGCTCCCCCATCAGAAACAGGGTTCCTGTTTTCAGCATCACCAAGAGACAGCTTGACTTCCTCGTGATCTTCTTTCAAGCTACTCTTTTTTTCCATTAAGGGGCTCTCAGAAGGACTGGATTTAATTTCTCCTACACAGCAAGAAAAGTCATTTTAAAGCACATCAACTTCTCCCACTCCTTAATGCATATTTTGCTTTGTCCATCCTCTTACAAATATTAAGTTTTACATATTGTAGTTCAAGAAGCCCACCTTTCATCCAATATGTCATGAGAGAGGGATGCTTTCCTGTCTCAGACAAAGTTCAAAGTTGGGGGGTGGAGTTCTAAAGGAAATGAACTACCAACCACTATCTTTATTCCTACTAATAACCTCAGGCACTAACACAGGGCATTAATTATTCTATGAAATTCAGTTTCTTCATCTTTAAAATGAAGAGGTTGAACAACAGTAGATCTAAGCCCGATTCTCATTCAGATACCATGACTACAACTATTTTATGCTCTTGAACATCCATGTGGTAAAGCTGAAAATTCTTTCAACTACAGTGGTCAGACTGCTAAAGCTATCCCACAGCATGCTGGGTTTGAGACTGGGTGAAGTTCTAAGATGCTGCTCCCCAGGCCTGCCTAGGCCGGGCTCAGCCAGCCAGACTTCGGAGATGGCGAGAAGCGCCTGCCCTCCCCCTGGGCCTCCTCCCGTCTGCAGCAGCGAGTGACACAGGGCTCACACTGCTGCAGTCTGCGTCATGTACTTTCTGGAGAGGAATAAATTGCTCTGCAAACCCAACAGCCTAAATTCTGTAACTGACAAAGGCAAAGAACAACAAGGACCTCAAAACTACCAAAAACTTAAGAGGCTAGTCATGTAATTAAGTGTTTAGTTGAACTATTCCCAGACAAAACGTAGTCTTCATATGCCACATAAAATTCATGCTCTCAAGACGTGTGCCACCAATCCAGGGTTTGGGTTTGTGGGCATCTTCAAGGGCAAGTTGTCACTTAAATAAAAATGAGTATCAATACACAAGATGCTTAGTTACGCATGCCCAAGTCAGCAATGGCACAGTACCTAATTATTGCAAACGCTTGCATTTAAGCATTAAAAGGCTCCAATCACCAAGGAAGGTCTCCCCTTCTCCCAGACTCCCTTTCAGCCTTTCTATCCTTAGCACTAAATCTTATTTATAAATAAAACAAGAAAAACTTGCTTCTTCCCCCTCCCCACCCCTCAGAAATTAAGCATCCTCTTATGTCACGCCACTCAGAAATTACCTATGAACCCTTCAGAATTTTTGAACTGATGAGTAACAACTACATAAAGCTCTCCAAAACAAAGGAACATCAAGTTTGGCAATGGCTCTCCAATTATTTTAAAATTCAACAAGTTCACAAAGCTATGTTTTTCTCTTGATGTCAGATTACTTACGTTCAATTTTTCTCTTCATCCTGGGACAGACAAGGAACCAGACGATAAGGGCACAGAAAACAGCACATCCCACCGAGATGAGGATGGTACCCCACAGAGGAAGTTTGTCAAAGCCCAGCACTAGGAGATAAAATAAGGGATCTTGAAAACCCCAGGGCAACAGCCCCCTGCAACACCGGGGAACCCTCCACGGGAGGGCTCTTCTGGATCTTCACCAGCCTAGGGTCAGTAAGTGTGAATTTCTCTGCTAGCGATAAGACAAGTGAACTGACCTCTGGAAAAAAAGACAATTCAAGTCTTAAGAACCTAATGAAACACCTAACAAATTGAACCTGATTCTTCCTTTTCCCTCTTCAGGGCAGATTTAAAGACTGCAAGAATCTGGGTGACTTGCAGCTAGCAGGGAAGGGATAGGAGAGGGCAGCTTAAGATTGCGCTGGCAATACTGAGATCAAAATGGCTGAAGGGCCACGACACCTGCAATTCTACTTTACCCCTCTGTCTCCTCAAGAGGCAAGTTTCACCACCTGATATCCAATAACAGGTTAATCTGAATTTTCTAGAATTTATTTTTTTAAAGGAAAACAAGATGGTGGTCTGCCAAATTACCTATTTTTTGTGATTAATTTTCTTGGTTTTTTGGTCTAAGCTCCCCAAATCTCAAAATATGGTCCAAGTCTCTATCTTGGTTCCTTGCAAGTTCAAATTCTAAGCATTGACTCCTAAGCCCTACAGTTCCACTGGTCTTACTCTGTCTCTGCTACTTAATAGCAATTTTTTTTTATTATGATACACAGTAACACTGGCATTGCCAAAATTTGTGACCAATGTTATCGGTGAAAAAGATTGCCCCCCCCACATGAAAAAAAATTTCATGCAGTGATTTGAAACGAATCACTCTAAAAGATGTTCATGGTTTTCACATTTTTTGTTCAAGGCCTTGTTATTTTAAGATCTCTTAAGTGGCTCCATGAATTTAGCAAAACTGATTTGTGTATGTCCTCTCTCCCTATCTCACTATGGGACAGTTACTCCAATATGACCCCTTTAGGATGTTTTAAGTTAGGCATTCCAGCTTCATCCTCTGCCTCTGCCAAAACAAAACTGCCAACATTCCAATCTTTGCAGGCTCACAATAGTTCTCCTCTCAGCTGCATGAATTCCTCTTCAAGTGCACTCACACCAGCTGTCAAAGATCCCAACTCTTCTCAGTCAAGTAGATTCAGGGGAGTGATTTAAAATTTAGGGAACGAAACCAAGGTAACTGAATTCCACTTGAGGCCGAATGAGAAAATCCAACACCTCAAGTCTTAAGACTGATTATCCGAGGTTGAATAAGGCTAAGGATTCTTCAGTAAGCAGCCAGGATCCTGATCAATTCCAGTACTTTTAGTATAAGTAGGAGGAGAAAGGGAAGGAGAAGATCATATTATCGGTGGTTCCTGTGAAGACTAAAGAGGAAAGGTCTGCAGTGATTTAGAATCTGAGCAGGTCTCTGGCTGGGAAACTATCTAGGTTAACTCAGCGTACACTAGCCTGCAGCCTTCTGTAATGGGCACAGGCCAGCCACCTTCTAGGAGATTTCAGCCCTGTAAAGCAAAAAGGGGTAAATTGGGCATTTAATGCAAGGTTTGCAACCAAGTTCAAATTTCACATTTAAATATTTTCATCTAAACTTACAGGGTGCTCCAGTGTACATGATGGAGAAGAGGTTAATTCCAATTGTGCAGGCATAGAAAACTGGCAGGGCTCGTAAGCCATTAGGAACTGGATCACTCTGAAAGACAAATTTTAAGGTTAAGTAGCTCATGGAAGTCAAGGCCCACTTATAAGCTGTTTGTCCTGAGCCTGAACATTTAATATGCACTATTTTCCCTAGCCAGATATGATAATGTGGGGCACTGTGGAGGAACCTTGGCAAGACCCAGGTTCAAGTCTTTCTCTGGCTTAAGTGTGTCTGTGGGCAATTCACTTAACCCTCTCTCAATGACCTGACCAAGTTACAAGACTGAAGGAGAGTATGGACATCAATCTCCCCTTCCTATCCTTATGCATCATTCTAGCATAGAGTTTGTTAAAACTGTTAAAAGAAGTAAAACTGTAGACTAACCACTCTTTCCATTAAGCAAGTTTCTTTCTTTCCTATGCACGTCCCCAGTAGCTGTCTGGCCTAGAGACATTAGATTCTAGTTTATATTAACTCTTTGGGCCATAGAAAAAAATCTTTAAGACACTGAAATATGATGCACCCAGTGATTACTCTCTAGTGTCTCTTGATTCAACAAAGCTATTTTCCCCAGCCTGAATGTCACTGGGTCTTGACCTAGATGAAGCACTTTAATAAAAAGGTTAATTCAGAAGTTGGATTTTAAACTGGAGAAGAATAGATACATCATTTTCATTCTTGCTACCTACTGTTTCCTTCCCTGAAATGATTTAATTTTTATACATCAGACAATAAGATGACGTAAAATTCTCCATAGTAACCACTGCATCAGAATCAGAAAGGGGACCTCATTTGATAGTTTGTTAAATGGTTCAAGAAAACAGTTCAAGAATTTATCCTAATAAAATAGTAAACACTAACAGGCAGTCAAGTTCATGCCACTGGACTGCAAACACATTGTGAACTTCTGACTATGGAAAGGTAATTTGAAACATCATCATGAACACAGAAACCCACAATTTCAGACAAGCAACTCCATCTGCCAAGAACAGAAGAATCCTTTTGCACACCTGAATGTCCCTTGCTTTTGTGAAAGGTGTTGGTGTTCTAGATATGCTAGGTATGGGAGACCAGCACAAGAAGGTCAATAATCCCAGAAGTCACTCTGTTCAGAGGGAGATTCTCTGGGCAGTGGCGGCGGTGGCAGCGGCAGCGGCAGCAGCAGCAGCAGCAGCAGCACCAGCAGTGGTGGCTGTTTCCCAAACATCAATAAAAACTGATCTCAGGCTAGCATGGCCTACCAGCTAATTCATCTGCGCCAATCTTCCCCCTAAGACAGCTGGCAAATGACCTGAGCTTTTCCTGGGGATGTAGCATAACAAACTCTAGACTCAGTCAGGAGACCCTGGTCTCAGTTTCCTCCTCCATGAAATAATTAAATGTTATGAGCAAAATTCCTATCTTACTTAACCCTGAAAACATAAGCTTACTTTCTATTAAAAACTAAAATGTTTTAGTACCTTGAGTTCTCTCCCACCCCTCCGCCCCTCACTGCCCCCCCATCCCTGCCCCTCCCCCCCATAAGGTCGGTAAATGAGCAGGAAAAGTCAAACAAGCAGAAGGAAAAAGAAGGCTTCTCTAATTCACAAGCTCCCTTACCAAGCCCTAAGCAGTGTTCTCTGTTTCCTTACAAGGGAGTGCAGTGCTAAAAGGTTTTCGTTCCACCTCCCAAACATATCTAGACAAAAAGGAAACCTCCCCTAACATCTAAACCAATATGTAATTATACAAACAGGCATCCTTGTCCAAGGCCCCCAGTTCCTAAATGCACTGAAGAAACCGAACATGCACTGGTACAGTCTATACAGACTAAGTGTTGTCCAGTGTGTTTGTTATGGCTTCAAAATGGGAACTCCTAGGGGTAAGAACTGACTTGTCATAATACCTGGAAAAGTACCACAAGGACAGGTGCTAAGAAAGCTACTGTGGAAACTGAACTATGCACAGGGGTCATCTGGGTCTACAGACCTCAATGGCAATCCATCAGCTTGGCTGGGGGGGAAATGACATCCTTATTTCAATTTAATGGTTGTCCTTTGTATCTCATTTTATGCATTCACAACCATTTTCTGAGAAGAGATTGCTAGACTTCGGACTGCCAGAGTGGTCCATGACACAAAATGGTCAATGACCCTGGCTCTTGGAGTGTGCTGTTCTCCATGGAGCCACTAGGACAGAAATGTTAAAACTAAGCACTTCTAAAGCCATAGTTCATATCCCTATCACTCACTGATTACTCCAGGGAGAAAGATTCCAAAGAAAAAGGCACGATGTAAAATAAAGGCTCTTCACAACCCAACTGCCCTTGAACTACTACTCAAGTGTTTCTAGCTGCTTAACACATTACTCTAGGCATAGTAGGCACTTAAATGTTTGCTGAGGCTTGAATTAAGTCTAACTTTAAGCCTCTTACCAAGCAGAAAACAACCTGCAAACTACTTAAGCCAGCTGCCTGATGTAAACTCCACAGCATCCAAACAGGCTCTGAAACTAGTCTGATGATCAGAAATTTGTGATCCCAAAGCAAAACAAAATCACGTCCAGTACATGGGCACTCTGGCATCTAAGAGGCACAAGCCGACTTTGTTCCTCTAAACCTGAGAGTGCCAAAGACAAAAGAAAATCCACGGGAAGCTCCTAATTAATCTGAGACTGTTCTGAGGTTTTAACTTGAAGCCATCAGGTACTATTCGAAGAGAAGAGTCATCTCTCAGATTAGCTATAAAACTTGGGTAAAACACAGGGTTACATTTTTCTCAAATCATACACAGAGAATGCCATCTCCGCCCTCTCTTTCTCTCCATAGCTGGGCTATTTATTATTCCCCTAATCATTTGGAAACAAGTTTTAAATATACTCTATCTACAGACATGGCCTCGGACACTCAAGAGACCTCAGGTCCTACAACAAACGCAGGGCTACTGTGCTGGGAAGTGGAGGGAGGGATTCTGAAGCTTCACCGTAACAGTGATGAGGAGCTTCCCATCGTCTCTGCTACCTGACCACAACAGAGGACAGAGGAGTAAGTGACAGTGCTGGCAGTTCTACAAAGGTTCCTAGAGGAGCCCATGAAGTACACGAGGGCTACACCTCACTGTATTCATGTCTCCAAATGGCCACTGAAGTTAATCTGTAATCCGCTAGAGCTTCCCCTTTTGGAAGGTATTTTGAGAAGGGCCTGGAGAATGAGAAATGACTAATTCCAAATTTCCAATGAACAAGAAACCTAACCCAGAATATCTTAACATTGAAAACCAAAGTCACCAGAATTCTGAGACACTGTAAACTAAACTGAGACCACTCTGGGAGGTAGCAACTACAGGCTCCATCTCAGAATAAAACATTAATTTACTCAGACACAGACACTGACTACAAGATTGGCCTCTTTTGATTTTACAGTAAAGCAATCATCAGATCTGTGGAATAGGTGGGATCTATCCCCACATTGAGAATGAACTCACAAGTTGAGATAATGTCCAGAATACCTTCAAAACAAAGTAGATCAGGGAAATGTGGGAGCCAATAAGAAATTAACGTTTTTATAACAAATTAACATATTTGATACAATTTCCTCAATTGTATCAGGAGTGAAGAAAAGCCAACAAAATCGTCCTAGATCCCCTGACTCTGCCCATGGAAGCACACCAGCACTCCATGCAACGAGCCGGGAGAGCAGGCTAAGTGAAGCTGGCTGCCAGTCCCAGTCAGCATGTGCTAGTTTCCCAGTTGCTAAGTGACCCTAGTTGTTTGTTACCAGCAGCCTTACACTTAGGACAGTCAAGGTTTTTGCTGCAATGAGTGACAAGAATCACTTCTACTAGTTACAAAGTTTCCACAGGAAAGTGGCACAAGATCTTTCCCTCCAGTTACTTTTAGGCCAAACAAAATTCACAGCCCTGCTTCCCCAGGGACTAGATGACCTAATAGATTTTATTTTCTCCATCTCTAATTTCTGATTTGGGACCTCACTCCAGAGCACAAAATACTCTGAGAAGATAACATTGTTCACCAAGGAAATGTAACTGCAGACAGGGCCAACCACAATTCTCAACCATCTCCGTTTATTTGGGGTCTGATTTATAAGCTATAGATTTTATAGTCAGTCCCATGGGAAACTAACTCCATTGGAAGCCGGGTTCAAAACTGAACAAATCTCAGTCTTAGAGGGGGGCAGCTGTGTGTTCAAGTACAAAAAACAAAAAAAAACCCCAAAACAACAACAACAACAACAACACTGGACTCCAGCATTGGAAAACCCAAATTCAGATCCCTCCTCCCCTTCCCATACTCCAGATCTCAGGTAATGAATGATACCGTCCTTTTCCAGCCTCAGTCTTATTTCTCAAAGAAAGGAGTTGGATTAAAACCAGCATCTATTCTATGATACTCTAGTTACACTCTACTAGTGAATTATGAAAAAAGGTAATTTTCAGGTTGCTAAACAAATCATCCTGGGAAGGAAAGCCATGCCTTCTTTATTTTATTGGCACACTGATTGCTGATTTCTAGACCTGTTTCCAATCAGATTCTGCCTCATTTAACAACTCCATCATCCCTAGACCAAGACTACCTGTCAAGCCCATTCTCAAGAAAGAAAATCTGGAATTAGCTGCTGCAGAGTCTGACAGAAAGTAAGACACTTACCTTTCGGAGGATGAAGGATCGAACTAGGAAGAACAGAATTGCAGACATGATGCCAGAAAGGAGTGGGGAGATGAACCAAGATAATACTGGGGAGAGAGCACAAGGGCAGGTCGGGATGAGCACTTTCCCCAGTCCGTCTGCCCACCTCCCGCCATGCCCCCAGCACCGGCACATACCGATTTTCAGCAGCTCTGACCACCTGACACCTTCCTGCCCCTTGGCCACCAGGGAGAAGCCGATGGTCGCACCGACAATACAGTGGGTACCAGAAATGGGGAGCTTCAAAAACGAAGCCGCTAGCTGCCACACGGCGGACCCTGAAACACAGGCGGCCGTACGGTCAGCCCACTGCCCCCGCCCCGGCGCTGGGACCCCCGGCGCCAGGACCCCCGCCCCGCCGGCCGGCCGCACTCACCGAACATGGCACTGACCGAGCCGGCCATGAGCTCCTGGGTCGAGTTGTACATGTTCACGTCGATGAGGCCCTTGCGGATGGTCTCGCTCACCTTGGCCCCCAGCAGCACGGAGCCCACAGTCTCGAAGACGCTGGCCAGCACGCAGGCCTGCCGCAGGGTCACGACCCCGGAGCCCACGGCCGTGCCGAACGAGTTGGCCACGTCGTTGGCGCCCACGGAGAAGGCGAGGACAAAGGCAATGATGAAGCCCAGGACGAGCATCCACAGATAGTCGACTAGGGGCCCGGGGGCCGTGGGCGCCAGCGGCGTGACCAGCGTCACGAGGGAGCCCAGGGGGGTGGCCATGCTTCCCGCGTCCAGGGGGGCCTCGCTTGGGGGGGCTGCTGGGGGGGGGGGGGGGGCTGTGTAAATGAGGTATGAGGATGCTATAATAAATAATATATATTACATACGATTAAATACTGTAAACGGGGGCACACGTCGCGGGGCTATCGCTATACGCGGCGCGGGGACATCTCGGGGTGCTGCTGGCTTCGGGGGCTCCGGGGGGCTCCGAGGCTGGGGCGCAAAGCCATGGCGGACCTCAGCAAGGGCTCAAGGGCATCCTGCAGGGGGAGAACCCACAATAGCACCATCTCTCGGGGGGGGGGCCGGGGGGGGAGGCGGGAGCGCCCAGGGTGGGGGCCGGGGCGGGGGCGGGGGGCGGAGGGGGGGCGCGCGCGGGGGGGGGGGGGGGAGGGGCGGGAGAGCGCGAGAAACAGAGAAAGAGCGCGCGGACCCGGCCAGGAAGCCCAGGTTCCCGCGCGCGCCTCCCAGGGCGGGGAGCCACCAAAAGCGCCCGGAGGGGGATGGGCGGCGGCGGCGGCGTTCCGTGCTCAGGCGGAGACACAGATCCTCAGCCCCCCGAGCCCGTCGGCCCCGGCACCGCTACTCACCAAGGGAAACCGGCGGCGGCGACGGCGGCGGGAGGACGGCTCCGGTCAGAACCCCCAGCACGAAGCGGAAAGAAGCGAAGCGTCCCGCCCAGAGAGCCCAGGCCGAGCCGAGAACCAGCGACTACGCGGCGCTGCCTGCAGCTCCTACTCGAAAGCCCCACGCGACATCCCGACAGCCATCACCTAGCCGGCGCACGCCGCCGGCGGCCCCTCTTATAACCGGCCGGGCGCCCCCACGTGACCCTGCGCGCCCCGCCCCGCCCTCCTCCCAGAGGGGACCCGCCCTCCCTGACGTCACCCTGTCCGCTCCTCCCAGTGCTGGAGCCTTCTAGCGCCACATGATCTAAACGAGCCTCGCGATTGGAGGCATGCGAGCCGCGGGCCTCGCCCCGTCTGGCAAGGGTCCCCCGCCCCCTCCGGGTCCCGGTGTTTCCCACGTGAGGCCGGTGAATCACCTTTCCCGTTTCGTGACCCCGTTTTGGGGTATTCTGGGCTGAACGCTGTCTCCCAGCCCCGTCCTTCCCCTCACCTGGCTACGATTGCCCCTGCAGCCCCCTAGAAGGTGCCTCGCTCTCCTCCCCAGGGCAGCCCCTCAGATCTCAGGACTGGGGGCGGCCCCTCTTCCAGGTCGGGGTTCACGGCATCAGAGTCCTGGCCTCGCCCTCGGAGAAGACGCTTGGCCTGGCCACCTGGCACCTCTAAGCCCGTGACCCGCCTGCCCTTACCCACGAGGGGCCCTGACTCCCCCCCTCGTAAAAAAAGGGGCAGGGGTCCCTGTTATCCACGAGGGGCATTTGCTCTTCCCATGAAAAAGGGGACGCGGGTGGGGTCCCTGTTATCTACGATGTCATTTGCCCTCCCCATAAAAAAGGGGACACGGGTGGGGTCCCGTATCCACAAAGGGCACCGACACCCCGTATAAAAGGGGGCAGGAATCCCTGTTTTCCACGAGGTGCATTTGCCCTCCCCATAAAAAAGGGGGCTTGGACGGTGGAGCTTCGAGGGGTTAGTCGAGGGGCACGGCGCCCGGAGTCCCGCACACCCGAGGCTGCCTGGCCGGCCTGGGAGGAAGCTGGGAGGGCCTTGAGAACCGGACAGCTCTGGACAGCTCTAGGTCCTCCGAGCGATTTCCTCTCCTTCGTTTCATCCGGTTACCTAATCTCTGTCGTGAAGGTGGCTTTGGGCCCTGGAGCGCTACCTTTGAATACAGTCCAGGAAGTAAGTAGATCCTTATCTGCTTTTCTGGGACAGGTCTAGCTGCGAAGGAAGGAGTTCATCTACCCTAAGGCTCCCCACTTGGTGTGGAATTATTTGGCCACGGCCACGGACGAAATAAAGGAAAAAAAGCTACAAAATGACATTCTCCCGGCACCGTGTCTTTGCACTGGCTGCCCCGTGTCCCATCTCCTCGCCATAGCTTCCTTCAAAGCACTTTTCTCTGCCCTCACCCTCAGTGAGGGCTTTTCCTGCTTCCTTGTCTTGTATATGCAGTTTTTTGCACTTCTTCCCATTAAAATGGGAACTCTTTGAAGGCAAGGTTTTCTTTGCTTTCATTTCTTTGTACACACATCGCTTAGCTTAGAATTTTGAGCTCTTAATAAATGCTGGTCCACTGAGTCTGGGACCTTGTGATTCTTCAGTGAAGAAGCAGAGTGTTGGAGAATTACTAATAGATGAGTTTTGATTCTGAGGAAATCTTGGGTTAACCCTATCACATTAGAAAAGTTAGTTAATAAGGGAAAGGAATAGTGCATACTATGTGCCAGGCACTATGCTAAGCTCTTTTTAGAATTATCTCATTTGATCCTCACAGCATCCCTGCACGGTGGATGCTATTGTTATCCCCATTTTACAGATGAGGAAACTGAGGCAAGCAGTGACGTGACTTGCCCAGTGACACCCAGCTAATAACTGTCTTCGGTCTCATTTGAACCCTTTCTGACTTCAGGCCCAGACACCTGCTGCCTCCTAGACATGCCCAAGGTCACACAGTTAATAAATCTCAGAACCAGGGATTAAACCTAGAACCTCCCAACCCCAGTGTTCTTCCCACAATACTATCTGGTCTTTCCACTTATATAATGTTGACCCAAGCCATTGAGGCTCTGGATAAATCATTTCTCTGTGCAATACCTCAATATTCTTCCCTTGAGCTGACCCCTGACTGTTTGTACTTGACATACCTAGGGAGAATTCTAATGAACTCCATCCCTCCCCCCCAATCTTTAACATAATAATGAAACTTACTTTTGCATAAGACTTCGATTTTGCAAAGTACTTCTACCTACATTGTCTCCTGAGAGCTTGGGTAGATATCCCTATTTTATAGATGAAACAATTTCATAAAAAGAAACCCAAGATTCATACAGCTGAGAAATGGTACTTCTGAGTCTATCGATTTTTTCATTGCTTCTCTAACATCCTTTCATTTTGTCTCCTCAAAACCCTTCCAAAGTTCTGTATGGGATATGGGTATGTATAGACCAGGCACGATTTGTTTGCTGTAGGGAACTCTGGAATTCTTATTGATGAAAGTGAGCACAAACTGGGAAACCTCAAATCTTAAAGAATGGCCTGGGTTGCCTGAGTTTAGTGAAAGGTCCAAGATCACACATTTACTAAGAGCCTACGGCATGCCAGACAATATGCTAAGCACTGGAAATACAGATACTATACCAGCAAAATACAGAGACTTTTCTTGCCCTCCACAAGGTTACAGGAAGACTGAAATATAAAAGCCTCCAAGACAGAACTTGTACCCAGGTCTTACTAGATCTAAAACCAGCCCTCTATCCATTACATTGTTTCCTTATAATTATAAGATGTTCTAGAAATGTAAACTGTTATTATCATCCTAGTGTATGGTATTCTTTAACTTTGTCATACAATTGAAGGCAGCATAGGACAATGGGTTTCCAGTAGTGGAACCATGCAGTAAGAAATTACTATGCAAAACTCAGAAAAACATGGCAAGACACGAACTGATACAGAGTGAAGTAGGCAGAACCAAGAAATCAATATCAACATCTGACAACAATGCAAACAAAAACAATAATGTTAAGGACAAACACTGAACACTAATTATAATAAGCCAGCTTGGCCTCTCCCTCTGCCCTTTGCAGAGATGAAAATGTGGGCCACAAAAATTCCGATCTGTGGCAAAGGGCAGCTGACGCAGAACTCGGAATTATCAGGAAGAACATAGTGAATTGTGACTTATTCTTACAGCATTAACGTAACTAAATCAAACTTAATTCAATTCTACTTGACTCAGTAATACAATGCCTGATACCCATCAAATCATAATGATTTAGTAAATACTGATTAAATTGAGGAGGATCAAAATTAGTCTCACAATTCCCTTCTTCACTAAGGCCTAAGGACACATAGAGGGCAGTCCTCTGTGGATGATGCAAAATACCAGAGGGGGTGTCCCCTACTGAGTGACAAGGGGAGGGGGGTTTTAAGAGCACGACCCTTTTTTTCGGCTTCTCCTTTGTACCATAGTTTTGATTTTTTTTTTTAATATTTCCCCCCGATGACATGTAAAGATAATTTTTAACATTCATTTTTCAAAAAATTTGAGTTCCAAATTTTCTTCCTTCCTTCCTCACCTCTTCCCTTCCTGAGATGGTAAACAATTTGATATAGGTTATACACGTGCAATCATGCAAAACATATTTCCATATTAGTTATGTTGTGAAAGACACAGACCAAAAGAAAAAAATTTTGAAAAAATAAAATGATTATGCATTCAGATTCCATTAGTTATTTCTCTGCATGTGGACAACATTTTTCATCATGAGTCCTTTGGAATTGTCTTGGATCATTATATTGCTAAGAATAGCTAAGTCATTCACAGTTAATCATTGCAAAATATTGCTGTTACTATGCATAATGTTCTCCTGGTTCTGCTCACTTCACTGTGTATCAGTTCATTTAACTCCTGGTTTTTCTGAAAGCATCCTGCTCATCATTTCTTATAGCACAATAGTATTCAACTACAATCACATACCACAACTTGTTCAGACATTCCTCAGTTGATGGGCATCCCCTCAATTTCCAATACTTTGCCACCACAAAAAGAGCTGCTATAGATATTTTTGTGCATTTGGTTCCTGTTCCTTTTCCTTTTTCTTTGAGCTCTTTGGGAAGCAGACCTAGTGGTGGTGTTGCTGGGTCAAAGAGTATGCACAAAGAGTATGTCCTTTGGGTATGGTTCTAAATTGTTCACCAGAAGGGCAGGACCAGTTCAAAACTCCACCAGCAATGCATCAGTACCCCTATATTTCCACATCCTCTCCACCATTTGTCATTTTCCTTTTCTGTCACATTGGCCAATCTGATTGGTATGAGGTGGTACCTCAGAATTGTCTTAATTTGCATTTCTCTAATCAGTGGTGATTTAGAGCATTTTTCATCTGACTGCTGATAGCTTTGATTTCTTCCGAGAGCTGCCTGTTTATGTCCTTTGACCATTTATCAATTGGGGAATGGAGGGAGGAATTTAAGGGTGAAGAGAAGAGAACCTATGGAAATAAGATTTCCTCAAATAGCCTAAACAAAAATAACTTAAGAAACAATAATATTGGGGCAGCTAGGTGGCAATGTGGATAGAGCCCCGGCCCTGAAGTCAGGAGGACCTGAGTTCAGATCGGGCCTCAGACCAAACACTTGACACTCACTAGCTGTGTGACCCTGGGCAAGTCACTTAACCCCAGTTGCCTTAAAAAAAAAAAAGAAAGAAAGAAATTAACAGTAATATCTTCAAAGAGAATGTTGTATGTGTGTTTTTTAATCCCAATTCAGAACAAAGCCATATTAGAGACAAGGATAAAAATATAAACCTAACTCTTATAAGTTTACATGTGAACAGATTAAATAATCCAATAAAACAAAACAGTTGCAAATTGAATAAGAAAACCAAACCCCAAAATCAGTTGCTTATCAGTTTTGTTAAGTTTTTTTTCTTTTTATCTTTTTTCCCATCTTGCATGACAGGTAGGGGAAAGGAGTACTAGAAGAAATTAGTCAATGTAACAACAAATTATATAAAAAAATATTTTAAAGAAAAAGAAAGAAACAAGCTTGGTAATCTATCTAAATAGGATGAGAAGGATCATAGTCTATATCACCAATACACGTGTTGCAGTGCACAAAAGAGACATGGGC